TCGTCAATTGATTTCTCCTCCTTACCTAGCACCCGTTGCCTAACCTCAATATTGCTCACCCGATTATACCAGTTCACACGAGAGGTAGAACGCAGGCACCTATGGTCAAAGACAGCCAGCCGGCCTTTTCACGTCCTCCACTGTCAATGGCCATGTCTCGCTCACAGCCATAAAGGAGGAAGGAGCGGACTGCTGAGCAGTACACACACTCTTTGGTCCACAGCCAGTCGGATATCACATCTACGCCAGAGACGGGGTAAAATGGCATATGCGAAACGAGCCTCCTGTATCCGTGCTGAGATTTCGTCGGCGATCAAGCCGTCGGGGCTGATGCAGCTTCACAAATAAGTGAAGTGGTCAACGTGCTCTACCACTTCACTCCCTATTTCTAAGCTAGGAGTCAATGTAGTCCAGTCCTGTAGCATCATCTTACATTTAGGGTGGGGGCGGGGGAATCGCATGTCAAACATTCGTAGATTGCAGCTCAAGGCGTTCAGAAGACTCTGCATTTTGCCACAGTCTTCACCTAGGAGAGAGGACATTATCATCTGCATATTCTAAGTCAACGAGATTATTCCTTGGTAACAAGTCAATTCCTGAGTCTCTGAAGTGAGTTAGGGTGATGCCATTAGTACATCTAAGACGAAATTGAATAGAAATGGGGATAGTGGGCATCCCTGTCGGACATCACTAGTTGTCACCACTTCAGATGACAACTTGTAGGACTTTACACAGAAGTGTACCGGTTCAAGTTGTCACACTTCATGTAGCACACAAAGGTAGGGAGAAAATGAATTCACAAGAACTACAATGAGTAGAAATGTGCTTGGAAAAGTATGAGGATTTAACTGATATGGAACATCATAAAGAGTGAATGCTTCAGCGCCATTGAAATCAGTTTTCAGCGGTATAAGCAACACTTTTAAACAATAGATCCTTATCATGTCGAGGATCCCAACCAAGTAGTCTACACATACCTATATGTGGCTGTCTGAAATCAACAGTCAAAGACTTCATAAACTAATGACAGGTTTTGGTGTGATCACCTCTGAATCATCTCCGTCTCAATTCTATTTCAACAAATCAAATAAGTGAAAATGGATGTATAGAGCAAGAACAACATTTTGTGCAGGATAAGATGATGCCATTATTTATTTTGTTGACTTTCGTCATGTGCATACAGCCTAAATATTTATTAAGTTTGTGTACAGGAGAATTTTAATATACCTGTAAATGTTACATCATATCAGCTGACAGAAGGTCCCAAACTTAATAAACAGTGCTCAGAAAACCATACTTATAAAGTTTATACCGAGAGGGTTCAATGTGAAACAAAAATAAATTTCTGAGTACAGTGGTAAGCCAATTGCGTAATAAAGACAAGAGGTGATTAACAAGATGAATAACGAGTAAATTGAGCAACCATGTAGTCTTGACAAATTAGAGATAGTGGAAAATATCCACTAGGACATTAGAAAGAAGAGAACACGAAGTTCAGCAACACAGATATCTTTTCGGCGATTTCATTTTCAAAAGTTGTACAATCGCATTTAGGTACATAGATTTACATAGATACAATTTTTATTTGACTCCAGATAATTAAGAAGGTGAGTAGAAATGTGACAATTATTTTCCAACTTGACATAGATTACGAGAGGCTCAGAAACAAAAATCACACAGGATTAGAACGAATTACAGATGTGAACAAAATGAGCATGCAAACAAATTGAAATAATAATTTTCAACTTGAAATAGAAGTTAGGAGATGTGAATATAGATTACAAGAGGCTTAGAAAGCTAAAATTACACAGGACTAGAATATGATTGTAAAAGCAGTTATTTTAAACGAATTACAAAGGTGAGCAGGAAGAGCATGGAGGAAAACTTAAAATAGCTGTTCTTTTAACTGAAAACATGGGATTAATTGAAGGAAGACAAAGAGAGAGAAATACGCACATAATTAGCGTTAAACTTTTCAGAACTTTTTAGGAACCCATCACACAGTTTCTCCTTTGTCAAGGATTTCGACAGAACTCTATAATAATTTGGTTCTCACTTTTGAAATCAGAGATTTTTTTTTGATTCAGTATACAATTTAATGATACGTTGAAGATTTTTGAGAAAGGGCGGTAGCTTGCAATTTATGTAGTGAGTTAATGAGTTGGCGAAGAAAGCAGTGAGACTGTAAACATCCATCGGAGAACTTCAACCGAGAATTTTTCTCTCTGGATTTTCTGCAACAAACTGTTACCAAGCGATTCAGTGATCTGAAAGACTCTGTGGGGGGGGATTTTTCAGAAGTCTGGAGCCTCCTGTCATCTGACATCATGTACCATTGGCAAGTATGTTAAAACTGTTCTGTACACATACTTAGTAATTTCTTTAGGCTATACACAGGTGATGAGAAACCAACGAAACAAATCATGAAACATTCTCTCCTGCACAATCCACTATTGTCCCTGCTTTATTCACATTCACGAAGGGGAATAAGCGTATGAAGAAAATAAATAACTAATGTATCTCCATTTCTTTAACACTACATGAATAATCCGGTATATAACTTTTTATGAAAGGTGATAAAGAAGCCGGGAAATTTTAGTAAAAGGCTGACGCATACGCTGAATAGCAATAAAAAGCGCTAAGCAACAGTAAACAAGCTCTGTTTGCTAAGCCAGCTAACCAAATATTTTTCAAAAATTATTTTATTCCTTTACATTCCAAGTGGAACATAGGATTTCAAGCTACAGGTTTGAAGTTTTGGTAGCGATGGTGTTTTTTTTTTACGGGATGGGCATTCCTAGTCTAATGCCCAAGCTTCCCTCTTTGCCGGTCTTATTGCCAGTTTAGCGAGGTTCACAAGTGCGTTGGTGGCCGCGGATGGAATCCCGGACCACATATGTCATGTTTGGCGGTCATTCTACCGTTGAACCACCAACGCCCTAGCTGACTAACTGGATGTACTTACATATGTTACAATGTATGTTAGAGGTGTGTTTCAGAAAATATACCTGCTTACGGCTTTCATTTCACTAAGTACCTTAACCCACTTTGTTGAGGTCATTTTGAAATGTTTTACAGTGCTTAACTGTATCCTTACAAAGTATTCGTGATCACATGTACATGCAAACGGATACATATAATAACAAAGCTAGTATTCTCTAACTAATTGATACCGATTTGGAAACATTTATTTCCTGATATGAATTTAAAACAAGCCATAAATCCCGTTTAAAGAATCGACCCCCGGAAAGTGCTATCAACGCACTAAACCATATGGATTTGTAAGTGTTAAAGTATATTTGTTATTAAATGATACTGTGAAGTGTTATTTGTATATCTAATGGGTTAGAGTGAATAGTTGTTCCAATAATACTCACTAGAACTAAGAAGAACAGAATCTATAGCTGTTCGAATACTTTTAGTTTACCATGTTTGTACTCTATATAGACAGTTCTGGTGGTTCGTTGTTTTAGCTGGCTAACTGAGTGACTGGTTGACTAAGTCTCAACACAGAACCTTACACAGAAGTGTAATAATTCAAGTTGCCACACTCCATACAGCATATAGGTTGAAAAAATAGATTCAAAAGAACCATAATAAGCAGAGATGTGAGGGAGAAACAAGAGTAACACTTGAAAAACATGAGGGTTTAATGGGTATAGGAGATGAAAAAGAGTGGATGCATCTATGCCACTGAAGACGATTTTGAGCTATATCGCCAATAGTCTCCAGATACTGGAGGACTTCTATGTGACTGGTTGAAACGAACTGTGAAAGACTGCATGAATTGATGCAGTCTTTCTGTCCGACCATTTTTAACACTCTTTCAGCCTAATTCCCAGCCATTTATTCTCAGCATCGTGAAAACTCTAACAAAGCATTCTACATATCTTTACATGGATGGCACAAACTAACTGTCCAAGACTTCAGGGACTGACTCTTTTTTAATGTGACCATCCTTAACTCTTTTCCAACCAAATCCTATGTCCGCTAGCATTGTTCGTGGAGTAGAGTTGCTGTTCGGCACCCGCGATACGTGTCCTAGCTATCTCAGTCGATACAGCTTTGCAACTTGTTGGATTGACTTAACCTTCGTACCTAACACTGTACTTCTAACCACAACATGATAAGGAGTACTGAGAATGGGAGTAGAGTGTTAAGTAAGAAGTGTAAGTCACAGTCGATAAGGTTGCGAAGCTAAATTGCGATCAAATGTTGTCGCCTGAAGAGAGTTTTTGTTTTACCCATGGCAGGATATTCATTTTCCCATACTCCAGACAACCGGTTCAGCACAGAAGAAGTCTATTCTGATTTGATATACAAATATATCTCTTTTGAAGTAATGAAAAAAAATACTCATTTGGAAATTATTTATTTGAGTATTACACAGGATACATTTCAACATGTGTTAAGTTATAAAAAAAATATTTATATCAATAAGTAAAAATAAATTATTACGTGAAAAAAGAAAAGTTTTAGAAGTGAAATAATAATTTCTACATTTTGTGCTCTTTGATGTATATAATAAATATACATTTGTATATGAAAAGAGAATATACACAGAGCTAAGGAAGATAGTGAAACTAAATTTTATCCCTTTACTCAGCTGAATGTTTACTCTCCAATTCATTCAACACCCTTTCAACCTAATACAAATGTAAACGATATGAATAAAGAAACAACTCGACAAAATTGAACTTACATCTCTAAATATTTTAAATCGACTACTGAACATTGGATTAAATTTCATGAAACGTTTAGGCCCCAGTATATGCAGATGCAAATGATGCACGCTATTGAATGGTGGCCAATGGAATCCAAATCTGCATTTTATTCACATCTAGTTTATTCCCTGTAGTTAAACAAAACTTACAGAAAATCTTCAGGATTTAGATGAAGTTGACTAGTGACAAGCTGTTGTCCACAGTTTACCATTTCCCTAACTAATTTTATTCAAGATGAGAGAAAAAATTGTTGTAAAATAATGCAACACAATCTACCTAATGGTATATCTTTATGCGTTAATTTTTTAGGATCTCTTATATGCATTTTAGGAACACATTGAAAATGATATCGAGCTTTAGGCGAACGATCATTGAATATAACTACATTGTCAGTCTGCAAAATAAATTATAATTGTTATACATTTACCTCTGAAAGAATCGGTTGATCAGTTTTCCCAGAGGCAATAGAACAGAAGACACAATCACTTTTTATTTGTAACATTGAGCGCTTTTTATCTGTCATGTACAAAACGGAAGCGTAAATTATTTTAGTGACATTTTAAGAATCATATCTGAACATGTAGCGGTAAATAATTCCCTAAAATTATCAGTCTACATACAGTATTCTTCAATCAAAATTGAATTCTCACTTTCATTGTTTAGGTCAGCTTGTTAGGCTTAAGTTACACGATAACGCATCCTGGCGATTTGGCAGGCTGTCACATTCAGTTATTCGTGCACTAACCCTATCTATTTAAGCTGATGTTTTAAAGATTAATTTATTGTTTTGATTTGTTTTCGGTATCAGCAAAATAAGTACTTCGAGAGTTACAGAACTAGAATATTTGCGCTTATAAACAGAGTATCTTGCATAACTGTAGACATCCTTTATCTCTTGAAGATATTTATCACTTAGTAGCAGAGCAGAATTGAAACTTGTTACGCAACTTTAGAGTTATAAACTGACGATTTACAAATACATGAGTATAAGTGCGTTTTATTCAAAATCTTGGCAGGTATAACTTTAAACCAAAAACTTATAAGTTATATGTCTGCTCAAACAACTTGAATACTTTTCAAATATACCATCCACTACTGGAGGGTACAAACCTTTTATGAATTAGCTATTTGATTTCATTCATTCCACTAGAGGAATATGAACACTAAACTTACATCTTGATGTCTAAACATGCCATATTGAAGAAATAATGCCAGTAAATTCCGAACTAACACATTTTTCTTGTGGTGGATATATAATGAAAAGTTGCTGAATTGGCACAACCCTCCGCACAAAACAGCACTCTGTACTTTTTTTTCTGCATGGGCTAAATAGCCCATTTGTAGTTTATGAAGAAAGCAAAGGTAAAACATAAATGCAATGGAAATATAATGGATGAATGTGTGCCGTAGGTAAACTAGGTTATTAAAGAATAGTAACGACGTTCCGATTTCTGTGGTAAAAGCAAACGCAACTGATTAGTTGAAAACGGTCCAAACTTGTATCATCCCAGTCGGTTACTTTTTTTGGACCTGGGATATGTGGATAAAAACGTGGCAGTTTCCCTCTCAAATTTGGGCAAAGTGGGAAAAGGTGGGCTGTTTTCGTTTGTAACATGGGTGAAGTGGGAATAAATGGGCTATTTCCTAAAATGGCATGGGCAAAGCGGGAAAACGTGGGCAACTATTTTCTGGACACGTGCGGAAAAATATGAGAAACACGGGAAAAGTGGGAAGAATGGTAGGATTTCGTTTTGGTAGCGCAAACATACTTACATCTGAAATGCATGAGGTAAGGCACATTTCAGTCTGAATATTATACAATCTGTGTTTAATCATTGAGAAGTTGCATGAAGACAGTCTGACTATTTTATTTCAATCATTATGACACCTCTTTTTAGGTGAAGGTTTACTTCTGAAGCCGCAATTTCAAATTCATTCTCGTGCACTCCTAACCTGGTAAGTTAAGTGTTGATAGTGTAATGCCTACTTTAAGCTAATAAAATTGATACTGAAAGTGAAGTAGTACCAAGTGTGATTGATGTGAATCCCCATAGACGCCTCAGAAGTACTTTATTCCTTTTAATATAGCATTGCGCTTCAGTTTGGTTTGAAAAAGAGACATGTCACCGACCCACAGTGTGTAGAAGAAATAAGTTGCAGTTGCTTGGTGACGTTGCCAAGATAATATTTCCCGATTTCAGCGACGAGGCTGGTGAATGTCTTGTAGATGAAACCACTTGTAGAGTCGAAAACGTGCGAACTGACATGCAAATCACTTTACCAAGTAGGTTTCTTAGCTTTTCATGTGATGATTGATAAGATGATGCCGCGGGCGCTCCGTCGTCCTATGAGAAATTTTCCAATAAGGCAAAAGAATGCAATTCGAAGGCAGAACTTAGGGCAATAGCCTTAAAGGTTATGCTGACCACTAACACTTCCAGATGACTTGCAAAGCACAAGGCATTACAAAGAACCTACAGCACTACCAATTGCAGTCAGTCCTCAAAATCTAATGTAGTCTGCACACAAAAGCGTCATTACAGATGTGTGTCAACGTTATTCAACCTGGGCCCAGCCAATCAATGGCCTCAGAGTAATTTAGGAGGTCATTTTTGGAATCTATTATCTGGTTACTGTCTTTTTTAACCGACATTTCACAGTGTAAAATATAAAGTTCCCTAACCCCGTTGACCTTGTTTTATATCAGTAGCATAAGCAATGAATGAAGTGAAAGATTCGTAAGGCAGTAGTCGCTGAGCTCGTAAATGTGGTAAATTCGATTGCAGTAGCAACTATAAAGAACGTTGCAGTTTTTGCAACAACAACGGTGACTCTTTCTGTAGGTGTTAAAAGGATAACAGTATTCCAACTGGATAGCAGTCAATGCATTGTTACTAGGTAACGTGCGGAAACAATTTAAGCCTGCTAATTTTTGTTGAAACTAATGTGTAATCAGACGAATATCTCAGCACGACAACACATACCATCGTAAACCATTACCAGTCGTCACTCAAGGTCCTTGGGTGACCTTCATGATGTCCAATGTACAATTTCTCAGAACTCACTACTTGACCCTCAGTCTTTCCTCCAACACAACTAGGTATGGTGTTTTGGAGTTTGCTGGGATTCTTCAGGCCAGATTTGCCTGAACAAAGTTGCTACAGAAACTTCAGCACAAAGAGTCTCCTTTCGACAGAAGGAAGTCTGTGTGGGGACATGGAACATCTGCACAATGTATCAGACTGGCAAGGCTGCCCCGATTGCAAGCGTTATGAAAAGATATGGCATACAAGTACCGGTAATATGCGAAATCAGATGGAATGGGAGTGAACCTACCACATTTTTAACGGGAGAGTCAGTGATATACTCCGGTCACCTAGAAGACAACTACGAGCATACCGACGGTGTGGCTATCATGACGTCATCAGTGGCGACGTAGGCCCTCATACAATCAGAGGCAATCTCGCCCAGGATTCAATTCAAAAGGACAGAAAGTGTCAGTTATATAAAGTTATGCACCCACAAACAAGGCAGACCTTGAGGAGAAAGAAGAGTTCTACAGACAACTACATGCAACAATAGGCGGTTCTCCAGTGGGTGACATTAAAATTCTAGTGGGAGTCATGGACGCCAAACTGCGACTACACAACACAGGAAGAGAACTCATCATGGGTAGAAAAGCTCTCGGAGAAATGAATGAAAATGGCGAACTCTTCGCTGACTTCTGCGCCTTCAATGAACTAATGATCGGTGGCAGCGTACACAAGAACGAGGACATCTACCAGGCTACATGGTGTCTTCAGATGAGCGAACTAAAAACCGAACGGACCAAACATTCTCACCGCACTTTCGAATTTCGTGACACTTTAGCACGTGTTTTCGCTGATATTCATTTTTCAGTTCTGCTATATTATCACCAATAATGATGGGCAAAAACTCTAACAAGCGTGTTCTTAGGAACACTAGTAATTTAGAAAATAGCTTAAGCTTATCTAGTAACACATTATCACCCCTAACATCAGCTGTAATTATTTTATTTTTTATTATTTTTGTTATAGCTTGATTCCATACAGTATTTTTGGTACAAGTATGAAATTTTCAGCGTGTGATATCGGTAGCCCAAATTTAGCAGGCCGACCATAGATATCAGGTGTGCATCGGCGAGGGATCGAACCTCGGACCATGTGCATGATCGGCGAGAGTCCTAACCGCCGTGCCACCTACTTGGTAAAGTGATTTGCATGTCAGTTCGCACGTTTTCGACGCTACAAGGGGTTTCATATACAAGCGGTTCACCCTATACAAACGTTCCAACATAAAGCTAACACCTGTAATACAGGTGGAAGATATCCTGTCAGAAAAGGCAGTGATAACTAACTCAGTCTGCATCATAAACGACATGCAGCTACAAATAAATGACCTTAGGACGAAACTAAATCTACTTGACCCGGTACCAGAAACAATCTTGTATCTTAAAAAGAAACTCTAGGATCTCACTTTCCTAAAACTATTTAAATTGAGGACTTAACCAGCCGATGCTGAATTGGAACATGCTAAAGAGCTAGAGAATGGCATAGGCTGTTTGTGGAGCGAAGTGGTTAAGAGACTTGCTTCTAAACAGAACGCCATAGTGTACAACATACCTGACAATAAGCCCATAAAATCGGTTCGGCACTCCTTGTTAAGGGCTGCAAACCTCTTAAGTACCCCCTGTCAGTGTATTAGACTAAATAAAAAAGAGTCAAACCGCACATGTCTTATACTTTTCAGGTTTCACAGCTGTATAATAGCTGAACAATTTAGGAAATCGTGGGATACTTTCGCGTCCACTACGAAATTCAAAAATCTTAAAATAGATTGAACAAAAACCCAACCAACGACAAGTAAACAACAACAGCTTAGACTCCAACACGATTATACCACAAATCATGATTAATAATAATGTATATTTTCATATTAACATAAATTTACAAGATAATGTATGCCATTTTTACAGGCATGATCAAGTATGATATAATGTCAAATAGTAGATTGTCTACAAGTTAATAATGTTTGAACAGCTTAATATTTGATATATATATATACATAAATACACTCATTGTCTGACCCAGGCTGTATGATTATTGAATTTTACAGTAGTCCTCCAGGTTGCGCGGGAAAATCGACTTCATTTCGTTTGCAACCCGTGTTTATAAACATACGACAGCCAACCAATATTGAGGTAAGTACAACGTTTACAAGGGATAGTAAGCTGTCTTAGAAAAGTAAAGGTGCTAAGGTGAATCACTAAAGTGTAATGTAATAGGTAAGTGCAATGTATCAACAATAGATGCATTCATAAAGGAAATACAATGGGAGACCAAAATCCCTAGGCTGACGAAGTTCATATGCAATGTATAATGCTACCCGTATAGGTCTTACTATCATGATGTCCACTTTTGGTTTTAATACAATTATCCAAAAGCCGATTGTTTTAAAGTCATATCATTTTGTGTATCCGGTGCACATCCGTACCCTATAGAGGATAGGAATAGAATAAGTCGAATCAAATTCATAAAGAGCTATAAAATGTTGGGTTTAATGGAATATAATGAGCAAGTGAAGACGTTGTAGAGCAAATAATTCCCCAAAATTATTGACCACAGCAGTCATCACTCAACATTGGATGCTGACCCTCACTGTTTAAGTCGACTTGTTTAGCTGAAGGATTCCGGTCAAGCATCCATGCCATTTGGTACTCCATCGTGTCACTTGCGTGCACGATCACTAGCCAGCCAAGCATTCACTCGATACGGTTTACTATTTGGTCCCGAAATATATTACGTACTTTGGACGACTAAATCTGGTCTTTTGCTTTGTCTTTGGTACACGACAAACGAATATTATAGAAGTTGTTGGTATAAGATCTTGCGTCAGTATACTCCGTACAATTGGCGAACGTCAATACCGTCAGCCTCCAAACTGGTGAGCCCAACCACGAACTTCATCTTCAATAAATACGCAGATAAACCCGGTGAGTTCGTTCCTTTTGTGTTTGTTCTTGTACTATATTGTAATCGGCATACATTTCGTCATGAGTGATCCTAGTCCCAAGGTTATTCGTATTCGCTCAACTGCCAAAACCATTCAGCTCGTACCATTTTGGCCGGACAATGCTGAAACGTGGTTTCAGATAGCCGAATCTGATTTTTGTGAGCATGGGATAACCGATCAACGTTCAGAGTTCCTTGCAGTTATTCACGCCCTACCGCGGGAATTCAGCAAGTGCGTAACCCTGCAGATGTCGAGTCCAGAGGTAAGTAACTCGTACGAGTTGCTCAAAGCGTCCCTTCTCAGGAGGAACGTTCTCACAGGATCGACAGCGTCTGGATGAATTATTTCGTAACATCGATTTAGGGGATCAGTATTTGGTGCACAACCATACCCTGTAGAGAATAGGAATAGAATAAGTCGAATCAAATTCATAAAATGTTGGGTTTAATGGAATATAATGAGCAAGTGAAGACGTTATTAGAAAATGAATGAGATGAGACATTGTGAAGTGATACTCAAAGATTCGACAAAGGGAAGCATGTTAATTTATAAGATGCCCCATAAATCTGTGCAGAGCCCACGTGGTCGCATCTCTACAATAGTCTGAGCGAATGGAATATGTGTAAAGGTATAAGCATGATCTGTCTAGGTGATCATTATTATCTTTTTCAAGATAAAGATCCAAGCCCTCATAAAAATCTCGAGCCGTCAAATTGCATATTGCTGCTCCTGCAGAATGGAGTGATTCACCTTAGTGACCACCACCATATCTACTGATGAGCATGCGCCACCCTCCCTCCTTTTATGATGTTAGGCTCTGATTGTTATGACTACAGCAAATATATTGCTTGGGTGCAGACACGTTCGTACCTCACATTCAATTTTCATAGCTTTCTTAGTGAGTGCTTCCAATAGATCTCCACGTACAGATTTATGAACATATTATATATGTGTGTGTCCTTCACCTCGCTGAGCCAGAAGAAGTGCTGGTAGAGAGGGAAGGTTGGGCATGAGACTAGCAACCCCATCCTGTAAAATAAAAACAATGCTACAGAAACTTCAAGATGCTAGCTTGAAGCCCTATGTTCCACTGGGGAACGTGAAGAAAAAAAATATATGTCTGCATGTGTCCGAAAGAACAGATTAGTAGCAGTAACAACACGGCTTAAGTGTTCGTCTTGGTTCTTTGTGAGCGCTTAGGGCGTGATACTTCTCGGCTCTAAATGTGCTGTAATAGACCTCACCTCACACAAACGTTGAAACGTTCGTCAAAAGCAGAACGACCCTAAGACTACATGGAACTGTCAATCAACGGAAATTCGGAAGTGGGAAAAATGCTTAGTCACGAAGGGATATCAAATACTTTCCCCCAATCACATGCAACCTGGCGAGAAATCCTCAAGTTGAAACTACACTTATGTCAAGTACTTTGGACTGAGTATTTCCTCCGATCTTTCCTCGTCCTCTCACATTTTGCTAGTTACTAGAAAGATGTTTCGCTTAACTTTCTACGTTGGGAAGTTAAGGCAGTCTGGTATAAAGCTGTCTTTCCTTTCTCAGTTTGTCAATTCTTGTATTCTAACCATCCCTCTTTACTCCTCCCCACTAATCTTTCCTGGACTACTTAAGAAAGACTTTGCTTTGCTGCGTAGGGCACTAAAAGCTGTTAGTAGGGGGAGTGGGATTTCGTTAAACCAACTGGTTAAGACCATTGTGGATAGACATATAATGTCATGTAGGAAACTAGCGAATTCTATATTGTCAGACCCCGAACACCCTCTCTATACGCAGCTCTCTCCTTGCATTTCATCTGGTAGAACTAGAAGCAACTATAGGAAGCTATATGCCAGGACTACCAAGTACAAAAACTCCACAATACCTTATCTGGCACAGCTGTTATGTGATGAGAAAACTGTTAGGTATGACACGATCAACTTACTGTGGCACTCTAACAAATAGTTCCCATTAGCCTTTGTTCTCCTTTCTTTGTTACTTTGTTACATCGTTTA